GTGGCGTTTCCCCACAACTTGCCTTGTTAGGGGTAGGGTTGGAAGAGTGGCCACCAGCTTCCAGGACTGTTGTGTCTCATTTACTCATAGCGGCCCGTCTTGCACTAGCGAGAGCATGGAAACAATCATAACCCCCCCTCACAACAGTCGTACAGATTCTAAACACGCATGCGCATTTTGAATTTCTGTTCGCCAAGGTTAACTGTAGATTTCATACTTTTGCCTTGTGTTGGGCCTGCTGGTTGACACACCAGATTCTTGACACATCATATGATTTCCAGACCCGCATTCCCTCATTAGTAGAGATGCTCTCCACAAGCTCTGATTTTTACTTAATAAATTAAATTTTAAAAAATTAAATACAAAAACATTGTTCATCTTATCTGTATCACTGAGACTTTTTTAGACGCCTCTCCCTGTGTAAGACTTTGTTTTCCTTTTTAGTTTACGGGCATTCCAACCGATCGATGTTGTAATATTTCAATGCACTGCTCATACCAACTCTGTACTTCATCTGCTGTACATGATACCTGTTGTATTGTTGTCCGATTTGTGCCCTGCCTTACGCATCTTGATTGTATACAGCTATTATTTTGGGCATTGCCCTTCCTCTACTGTTGCTTTTTGTCTTTGTTGTTTTGGAGCAAGAGTTGGTAGAGATCTGGAAAATGGCGCTGTGTTTTTAGAATTTGGTGCAGAGATTTCTTAGGCCACATTGCGCCCAAATTCAGCCAAAACTGTTCAGACACTTTTCTCATTAGGAAACTAGAGTCTTATGAGACCAACATGAGCCTGTACTGTCACTCAAAGGGCCGATTCATATGAGTGTTATGCTAAAGGCATGGTATCAATGCATTTAGCGCACAGCGCAATGCACCGTATGATAGGTGTGGTGATGTCTTACATGCTCTTAATTCACTTAACGCAATGCTCTAGTGCAGGGCTAAAAATTTCAAGTCCTGAGCTACTAGCCAGGCCTTAAGAGTTACTAGCCACCAGTTGCCCCACCTAACCCTTACCCTGCCCGACCTTTATTCCGCTCCTAAATACACCCTCTTAAATAATCTTATGATAGTTTCTGCTTGTAAACGGCAGATTAGGGATTCCTGCTGCAGGAAAACGCAATTTCCTGACGCAGGAATCTCTAATCACACCTGAAATATACTGTAGGTGTGAATGCGGCCTAATATATATACACACACACACACACACACACACACACACTAAAGGTGCCCATACACCTGCCGATTATCGTACGATAGTTGTCGGTGATCGTACAATAATCGGTAGGTGTATGGGTAGCGTGCGACCGCTTCTACTGTAAGCAAAACAAATGACAAATGCACTCAAATTTGTCACCAGCTATACAGTCCGGTGCACACGAAATGGGCTTTGAACAGTAAAACAGTAGAAAGGAATGATGGCACACTCAAGCCAGCATGTAATACAACTTGTCTCACCACTAAGGTTAATAACAGAGGTTTGGATACACGTCTTCTGCAGAAAATGTGAAAGCCGCACAGCCGCGCCAAGGAACCTCTTATAGTGCGGTCCTAACTCTAAACTATGAGAGTCTCCATCTTGGAGCACATGGGGGCAAACCTGCACCCAATTTGAAATCTTCTGCCCCCATGTGCTCCAAGATGGAGACTCTCATAGTTTAGAGTTAGGACCGCACTATAAGAGGTTCCTTGGCGCGGCTGTGCGGCTTTCACATTTTCTGCAGAAGACGTGTATCCAAACCTTAGTGGTGAGACAAGTTGTTTTACATGCTGGCTTGTGAGTGTGCCATGATTCCTTTCTACTGTTTTGCGCTTCTACTGTAAGGTCGCACGTCTTTCGTCTCTGAGCACGCTGGAAAACCTGCCGACAATCGTACGATTTTTGGCGGGTTGGTGGCGTGGTTGGAAGACTAATGCCGCACGGGCCGGTGTGCGCAAGCACACACTGCCCGCTCAGCACTGCAGTCATCGGAAGCCCTCCCCTCCCCCAAGATGGGCAGATCGTACAAAATTTTTATGACCTTACAACCATCGCACAACGAAAGTTGTAAGGCTTAAAACACAATAATACACTTCTCAACGTTACAACTAGGAATGCACCGATACTAGTATCGGTGCCGATTCCGAGTATTTGGGCAAGTACTCGTACTCGCCCAAATGCTCCGATGCCTAGCACGAGTACTTCCGGTATCAGGAAGCCGGGGAGCGCGTCATTACACGCTGCCCGGTTTTGCGATTGACCGGAAGCTGGCCTCGTGACGTAAGGTTACCTTACCTTAGTATGTGCAGCCTAAGTCATCCCCTGGGGCCTCTCCAGCGAGAATGCGGCCTTCGTCCGGTACCCAGCCCGAGCTGTCCAATCAGGAAGCCGGGTGCCGTCTAATGACGCAACGCCCTGCACGAAGCCAGAGCTGACGGGCAGCTCTGCGGTCTGCATCCGACACTGATGCAGACTGTGGAGCTGCTCCCGCAAGTCAGGTACGCGGTCTGCGATCGCGTGCCTGACATGTCAGCTGGCTGCGGGCCTCATAGTACCGGCTCGTGGGCCACAGTTGGTCCGTGGACCGGTACTTGGAGACCCAAATTTCCACTTGCCCTCACTTTATTTTAACTCGCCAAATGCGAGCAGGCGAGTGGAATTTTGAGCCCTGCTCTAGTGTGAACCTGCTCTTACTGGCTCAATATAGTCATTACAAAGTGAATATTAAACCTTTTGAAAGTTATCGGTGTACATGTTTGCTTTTATTAACTTCTGTGTTTTTGTATTGTAAGCTCTTCTAGTTCTGAATTGTTGCCATTTATGTTTAGCTTGGCTGTATTCGTTGGTGGAACAACACTGGGGGGCCTCGGTGTGGATTTTGGAGTTCTGGGCCTCCAGTGTCCCTGTGCTTTTTGAGGAGTGGGGCATCTCATCTCTCTGCAAACCTGCATTCAGTTTATCTCCTGCTAAATATGCCCCAATATGTAGACTCTCAAATTGTTTGGGCCACACTACAAAGAGGATCCTTGACAATGGCTTCCACATATTTTGCAAAAGTTGTGTAACTAAAACCTCTGTTTTTAACACCTATTGTTAGACATTCTAATTTGTTTTGTTGCAGGCCTGCTGGTAAGTGTGCTGTGAAACTTGTGTTTTATATTGTTGAAAGCCCTTCCATGTGCACCTTGCTATCAAGGCTACTTATAAATTGTGCGATTTGTCATTTGTTTTGCTTTTATTAATGCATAATTTATATTTTGTTTCTAACGCTTATTAAAACACATGTTGATTATTGTATATTTTATCAAATTATGTCTATTAGAATTAAATATTTTCCTGACAATAGAAATGATCACACATTTTGTTAAAGGGCTATTTTACTAGTAGATATTGCAGGTTTTTATGGGTTTTTTTTTTTTTTTTTTTACCGGAGGTACCATATTTCATCCTTCCTGTGCCAGAGACCTAAAGTTGCAATGAGCCACTTTGAACTCAATGAATATGTCAACTATGAGAAAGTGGAAAAAAATATTGACATTGTTCGTAAACGGTAAGCATTAATGGTTTTTGTTTGGCCATTGTGCTAAAAAAATGTATATATGTATATATTCTGTGGGCGCGCAGTGTGTCTGTGGGCACGCAGCATCTTACCTCACCCTGTGGTCAGCTTTCTCCCTGCTTCCTCTACTCCTGCACTACTCTGTTCTGCAATATGTTTTGTATGTGCTTGCATTGAGACCCTGTTTCTGAGTGCGGGAAAAATTTTCTTTATAATTTCCTAGTGAGTGGATACTGTTCAATAATCCCGATGCTGCTCAATAAACCCATTTTCTCTTCCTCTTTATTCTAGGCATTGATGTACTGTTGAGTCTCTATCATTGTGTGATTTATTCAGTATGTACACTTTATTTTACTATTTGTACTTCATAATGAAGTGTGGGAAAGTTTCCCTTCCAACTCTTTGGAATCTTTTTATAGTTTCCGTCTATCTGTGAAAATTGTTTAGGATACTTAATTCTAGTTTGGTCAACTAGAAGTGCGTGTGTGTGCGTAGCTGAGGCACTTTAAAGTTCCCCTTTGATGATGGGGCAGGGTATTGTCGTCCCCCCCCCCACCACCACCACCAATGTGAAGGGTGACCGTCATCTCACTTTTGGCCCCCTTTTGTGTGAATTTTTTTGTGTGGGCGGGCCTTCCTGACCAAGGCATGCGATGCGGGATGTCATGAGGTGGTTTGCTAAATTGTTGCCATTTATGTTTAGCTTGGCTGTATTCGTTGGTGGAACAACACTGGGGGGCCTCGGTGTGGATTTTGGAGTTCTGGGCCTCCAGTGGCCCTGTGCTTTTTGAGGAGTGGGGCATCTCATCTCTCTGCAAACCTGCATTCAGTTTATCTCCTGCTAAATATGCCCCAATATGTAGACTCTCAAATTGTTTGGGCCACACTACAAAGAGGATCCTTGACAATGGCTTCCACATATTTTGCAAAAGTTGTGTAACTAAAACCTCTGTTTTTAACACCTATTGTTAGACATTCTAATTTGTTTTGTTGCAGGCCTGCTGGTAAGTGTGCTGTGAAACTTGTGTTTTATATTGTTGAAAGCCCTTCCATGTGCACCTTGCTATCAAGGCTACTTATAAATTGTGCGATTTGTCATTTGTTTTGCTTTTATTAATGCATAATTTATATTTTGTTTCTAACGCTTATTAAAACACATGTTGATTATTGTATATTTTATCAAATTATGTCTATTAGAATTAAATATTTTCCTGACAATAGAAATGATCACACATTTTGTTAAAGGGCTATTTTACTAGTAGATATTGCAGGTTTTTATGGGTTTTTTTTTTTTTTTTTTT